TTATATATATATATATATATATATATAAAGTGCGCGGCGCCCATGAAATTGATGTTCTTTATTTCAGATCGGGTTATCTTTCAAAATCGAGATGCAAGATTCGACCACATATACTAACAAACGACTAGAAAAATATAAGAAGAAGCGTTTGAAAAATGTGCGAGTTGACTCCCAAGTGTCACTAGTGTCAGAAACGTCCATAACTGTCTAATTCCAAAGTTTTGCTTGGATTGCAAAGAAAGCTCCAACTCAATGCTTTGATTGGACACGCCACATGAGCATGGTGACACTCACGACGCAGTGTGCAAAGGGATTAACTAATCGTTGAAGGTTTTATTGAATATGAAAGTGTATCCGACATGTGTTGTATTAATTTGTATCTGCGTTTTGTAGCTTGAGGTACTGTACACGGAGAAGTTGTACATAAAATAGTACCTACCTTTGTGAAGTTATGCCAGGAAGTGATTGGTGCGTCATGATTTATGTTTAACAATATTTCATTCTTGTGGGCACATGAAACAATGTTCGTTGTTATTTCAGTTCGCGTATTCGCAATGGCTTTTATCTTAACGGATTAGTGAAGTGAACACATTTCATAATCGGAGGTAGAAATCACACAACGGATTATCTGTTTGAGCTTTGTGGAAATGTGTTTTTAAATATCACCGGATACAACGACGCAATTATTTTTAGTTAAATTGACGTAAGACTAACAGTATATTACCCTACTATTTAATGTAGGCACTGACGCTCTACTTCAACCAAATAAACGCATGAAGTTGCTTTCCCTGAATCTTGTACTGGATGACGTGGCTAATCTCTGTGCATTGAGTTTAAAAATTTCCTTTTGGAGACAGTGGAAAGCACAACTATTTTCTCGTAAATTTCTATTATGAAACTATTTCTTGCATGTTAGACTCTGAGAAAGCTCCCCACTTTTCGGATCTTCGGAACGAAAACTTACGGAGAGGTGACGATATCATCATCATGCCTCGTAAATTCATCAAGAAGCTGTTGATCTTCGTGCTGTTCGCCTGCTCCGCCGTCGCGTTGTACCTGGTGCTGTTCGCCAGCCACAAGGGAAACGTTAACGCTGAGTGGAACGCCATCATAGAGAAGCTCAAAGTTGAGGCGGCCTCCCACGAGAAGACCACCGACCGAGAGAATCAAAGACGAAAAGGTAACGACAAGGCACCAAATGTTCCTTTAGTTATGACTGCTGAGACTTAAAACATTAAAATGCTCAGCAGATTGAACATTGTAGCCCTCTTTTGTTAATAAATCGTCTATTACAGTGTTTCTCACCCCTCCTAATGCCGCGACCCCTTAATACAGTTCCTCATGTTGTGGTGACCCCCAAACATAAAATTATTTTAGTTGCTACTTCTAAAATATGTTTTCCGATGGTCTTAGGCGACCCATGTGTAAGGATCGTTCAACCCCCCCCCTCCAAAAAAAAAAGGGATTGCGACCCACAGGTTGAGAATCGCTGCTCTATTATATTTTATGTAGTCGGTAGATTTACTTTAATATTGCTGTTCGCAAAAACATTTTTATTTAGTACTGTACCTTACTCAGTTATTGACATTAACAAAGTTCTTGAATATTCCGCCAGGTGATGAACTTATGAACGAAGGCAACGTTGGCCCACCACCTCTCATGGTGGAGCCCGATGCTGACAATGACAGGAGGATCCCCGAGAGGCCGGCGATGGGAAGAGAGGACGAGGAGTATGAATATGACGTAGAGAGAGAAGACGTGAGGGGGGGAAAATCGAGCTATAGAGGGAAAGTACAACAGGACGACCATGATCGTTTTAGAGTGGATCCAGATAGGGACAACGATGGCGATGGCAGAGGGGATGACGACGCAGAAGAAGTTTCGGACACTGATAAAAATGATGAGCGAGAAAGACAAGATGTCATTGTAGATCGTTTAAATGATGAGGGCGCTGCAGCTGACGTGGTGGACAGGGTCAAGGCCGATAAAATCAATATCCAGGCCACTGTGCCGAGAGAATTTCTCATCACCAATGACAAGGGTGAGGTGATTGAGGAGAAGCTGTTTGAAGGGGGAATCAACCATTTGTTAAAGAAACGCCCCCTGGATGACGGAAGTCGACGTGGGGAAAACCAAGACAAGGGAGACGATCGAGCCGTAGCCAGAGAAAGGGTTGGGGCAGGCGAACGGTTGAGAAACGAAGATTTGTTGAAGGGCGTCGCCGTCGCAGACGGTGAGATTGATTTGGACAAGAACCTAAATGGCGATCGACCAGATGCCCCTCCCAATGCAAACCCATTGGCATCCGACCAAAACAGAGGGTTAGCTGGGATTCCAAACGCCAATGCATTGTTGAAGGAGCAAGCGGGAAACAAGATGCAAGGTTTTCGAAAGGATGGTGCCGCCGAAAACAAGTGGGACGGAAATGCCTTTGAAAATGGCAAAGTTGGAGCTAATAATAATAATGTAAATAACAACGGTCTTATGCAAGATGCAAACATCAACTTGCAAGCAAACATTGCCAACGCAGGGGATGCTCAAAATGGCGGCTTCAAAAAACCGGATGTAACCCAAAGGTATGTGGCATATTTAGAAAGGAATGGGCTACCACCGAAACAAATTCAAAAAAATGAGCCGAACGCCCGTTGGGGAAACCCGGTGGAAATAAAGGGGATCCCTCAACAAGGAGTCGGCGCCAATGAGCAAGGACCAGATCAGAATAAACCTGTAGGGAATATTGACCCTCAGGCGCAACAGCAGCAGCAACAACAAAAAACTGACCAGTTATTACAGAAAATAAAAGATTTACCTCCTCAAATGATTGCCGCCATACTAAAACAGCAACAAGATATGATTCTGCAGGGTCAAGGTCTTCAACAGCCTGATGTTAATGAAGCACAGCCTCAACAGGGAATGGGCGCCAATGAGCAAGGACCAGATCAGAATAAACCTGTAGGGAATATTGACCCTCAGGTGCAACAGCAGCAGCAACAACAAAAAACTGACCAGTTATTGCAGAAAATAAAAGATTTACCTCCTCAAATGATTGCCGCCATACTAAAACAGCACCAAGATATGATTCTGCAGGGTCAAGGTCTTCAGCAGCCTAATGTTAATGACGCACAGCCTCAAATGATGCTGCAAGGCCAAGGTTTTCAACAGCCTGTTGTCGCTGACGCACACCCGCAGCTACCCGAAAACGAGATTGAACAAAACCAACAAAACCCAAACGACGATCCCCAGCGGTTAGAGCCAGAATTTCAGAACCAAGTTGAGATGAATCTGAAAAAATTGCCTCCGAAAATCTTAGCGCAAGTAATCAAACAGCAACAAGAGCAACTCCAAAAAGCGCAGAATGTTCCCATTGAGCAGGCCGGGGACGGCGCCCAACTCCCGGTGCAGCGAGACAACGCTGAGCAGAGAGACCAGAATCAACCCGACGCCAAGCCTGAAGCCCGAAAGGAACAACTATTCATAGAAGATCTGTCAGTGCCGTTACCTATCCAGGTCAATTGTGTCGAGTTCAGCTTCCCTTCAGGCCGTGGCCCATTATGCATCCACCAGGGGGACAAGGACCCGGACATGTCGGCCAAAATCGAGACCAACGGATCGTACGAGAAGGATATCATGGACCAGTTCACCCACATCCTGCTGTCAGATCCTACCCTGGGTTTCATAGATATAGGTGCGGACTTCTTTTCTACTGCCTTCATTTATCTTGAACAGTAGTGGGGACCAAGGGCATTTAAACGTAACACTAAGGGGTGGGACCAAATAAGAGTGTAGCATGGTGATAAGGGGGAGAGGCTGCAATCAAGTGAGGTAAAAAGAAATGAGCGAAACAAATTATGGGGAAACCTGCAAATGGTCACAGCAAAGCAACCACCACCTTCATCAGCGTACACACGGTAAAAACAAATAAAATAAGAATAACACTAAGTGTTATTCATGTTTTTAATGTTGTTTGTACGATGTTGAAGGCATCTTGTCGACACGGTCGTTCGTTTTGTTGCGTCCATTATCCCCTCAGATTTTCCCATACTTTGTTTCGCTCATTTCCTCAAAGTGTAGTAAGTGGTGGTGGTGGTGGTTGGGGGGGGGCGCTGGGGGAGGATGGAGCATAAGTAAATAAACACTTCTTTGGATAACGTCATAAATCTGTCTTTGCCAGCTTTATCTTTTGGCCGAACAATATAATCCGCAACCGGTTTTACGAAACATTTGTATCAAAAGCCATTTGCACCATAAGTGAGTGGCAAGTAGTGACATTGTCTAAACACCAAAGGCGCGTATGTTAACTGGTATACACCAAGTAAGGATAACTAGTGTTGGATTGACTGTGATAGATCTCAAACAAAGGGCTCGTCCATTAATTGCGTCTACAATTTTAAAGCAATTTTGACCCCCTCTTCCCCCTTGTCAACAACTGTCAAACTTTCAATGACCCACCCCCCCCCCCTTATTTAATTGTGGCAATATTTTATACTAAAAAAAAAAGAAAAAGAAAAAGGACTTAAATTCTTTTATATTATAAATAAATAAATAAACATTGCTTTGTGCTGATCTATTTGAATGACACAAAATTGTAGGAACAATTTTTTATGACATCTTTAGCCTGTTAATCAACGAGTTAAAAAGTTTTTACACTTAAATTTTATAATGCGAAATCAATTGAAAGTTTGTCAAAGACTAAATGTCATTGTTTGTGGTATAAATATGATTATTGTCATTAAGGCTGACAATTATAGTATAGTCTCTAGCTGCTCTCATCTTCCCAAGGAGACGTTTGCTCTATCATACAAATGGGCATCAGGGACATCATTTGGTTAGGGCAGGGGGCATTGCCCCCCTACCCTAATTTGCAGGCTTTATTTAAATTGCTTTACTTGTTATGGCACCTCCATTAATATAAAAGTTAACAACCCTAATAATAAGATAGGTTTTTATAATGGGTAACATGGCTGACAAAAATGTTATTCCGTCGTAGGTTCAGGAATTGGTGTCTACACTATCGCCGCGGCACTGCTCAATCGTCAAGTGTTGTCTGTGGAGCCGTTGTTCAGGAACTACAGACTCATTCATAAAAGTGCACTGGAAAACAATGTGAGACCCCATAGTGTTATAATGTATGTGCATACATATACGGCCAACAATGTGAGATCCCTTTATGTTATAATGTCTGTGCTATTTTATACGGCCAACAGTGTGAGACCCCTTTATGTTATCATGTCTGTGCTATTATATACGGCCAACAGTGTGAGATCCCGTTATGAAAACGTGTTTGTGTTATTATATACCGCCAACAATGTGAGATCCCTCTATGATACAATGTCGTTGTTATTATATACTACCATAATCATTGCACCAAATTTTTAAACATTTAATGAAAATGAAATGGAACAAAACCTTTTATCTTTCACATAAACTTTCAAATAATACATTTGCTTAAACTAGTAAAATGAAACGTGCACACATTGCCTCAGTTTACTAGAATAAAAAACTGTTGCAGCCCTTATTTTTTTAAAACCTAATAATAGCATGCATGTTAGAATGATTATTTTAAAAAAAACTGTGTTTACATTCTGTTGTTTCAAAGATTGTACCATAATGCTTTGGTCTTAAATGTTTATGTTTGGGGAATGAAATACGAATTACAAAGTAAATGATTGTTACGCTATTGGACTACGTGACATAACTGTATCTGCAATTCATGCAGGTCTACGGTAAAATATTACTCGTCACTATGGCGCTAGACAACGAGTCCTATGTAGGTCACATGTCCTACACAGATACTGGAGGGTACAGCAAAGTCCTCATCACCAGGCTGACCCAGGATAGGATACAAGACCGGGCTAATGTTGGTGAGTAGGAACCTGGGGGAAGGGGGTCATTGGGGTCACGGAAGAACGTCGTGGAGGTCAGCAGGGCCATGGACATCAGGCGAGTCGTATGCAGTTAAGTCCATGGAGGTTAGTAGGGTCATTGAGGTTAGAATGGTCTTGTAGTACAGTAAGGTTATTTAGGTTAAGTAGGGTCAGGGGCGTCAGTAGGTTCATAAGGATTATGGAGGTTAGTAAGGTCATGGATGTTAGTAAGGTCATGGATGTAAGTTAAGACACGGATGAGAGTTAAGTCGCAGAGGTAAGTAAGGTCAAGGAGGTTAGTAAGGTCACGGAGGTTAGTAAGGTCATGGCAGTGGCGTTGGAAGGGGGTGCGGTCCGCCCAAAGGCATACATTTTTTCTTTAAACGGAGAGGAGGCCTTTTCGGCCCACTGCAGAGTTGGTTTTTGTTTTCGTGGAAAGGGGGTGGAAAAATCTTGACCCACCCTTGGAGGCATTAAACCTAGCTATGCCCAATCTTGACCCACCCTGGGAGGCACTAAACCTCGCTATGCCGAATCTTGACCCACCCTGGGAGGCACTAAACCTAGCTATGCCAAATCTTGACCCACCCTGGGAGGCACTAAACCTAGCTATGCCAAATCTTGACCCACCCTGGGAGGCACTAACCCTAGCTATGCCAAATCTTGACCCACCCTGGGAGGCACTAAACCTAGCTATGCCAAATCTTGACCCACCCAGGGAGGCACTAAACCTAGCTATACCAAATCTTGACCCACCCTGGGAGGCACTAAACCTAACTATGCCGAATCTTGACCCACAAATCTTGACCCACCCTGGGAGGCACTAAACCTAGCTATGCCAAATCTTGACCCACCCTGGGAGGCACTAAACCTAGCTATGCCAAATCTTGACCCACCCTGGGAGGCACTAAACCTAGCTATGCCAAATCTTGACCCACCCAGGGAGGCACTAAACCTAGCTATGCCAAATCTTGACCCACCCTGGGAGGCACTAAACCTAGCTATGCCGAATCTTGACCCACCCAGGGAGGCACTAAACCTAGCTATGCCGAATCTTGACCCACCCAGGGAAGCACTAAACCTAGCTATGCCGAAACTTGACCCACCCAGGGAGGCAATAAATCTAGCTATGCTAAATCTTGACCAACCCTGCGAGACACTAAACCTAGCTATGCCAAATCTTGACCCGCCCTGGGAGGCACTAAACCTAGCTATGCCAAACCTTGACCCACCCTGGGAGGCACTAAACCTAGCTATGCCAAATCTTGACCCACCCTGGGAGGCACTAAACCTAGCTATGCCGAATCTTGACCCACCCTGGGAGGCACTAAACCTAGCTATGCCGAATCTTGACCCACCCAGGGAGGCACTAAACCTAGCTATGCCGAATCTTGACCCACCCAGGGAAGCAATAAACCTAGCTATGCCGAAACTTGACCCACCCAGGGAGGCAATAAATCTAGCTATGCTAAATCTTGACCAACCCTGCGAGACACTAAACCTAGCTATGCCAAATCTTGACCCTCCCTGGGAGGCACTTAACCTAGCTATGCCAAATCTTGACCCACCCTGTGAGGCAGTAAACCTAGCTATGCCAAATCTTGGCCCACCCAGGGAGGCACTTAACCTAGCTATGCCGAAGCTTAACCCACCCAGGGAGGCACTAAACCTTAAGCTACGCCGAAGCTTGACCCACCTTGGGAGGCACTAAACCTTAAGCTATGCCGATGCTTGACACACACTGGGAAGCGCTACAATTTTCTATAACACTGTATATGAGTGAATTGGAAATATTAAAACGAACTTTGGGGGAAAAAGGTGAGTTGTTATAAGGTGGCAATTTACTTGAGCAAATTCTCATTTATTTCTAGCTTCCAGTAACTGTCAACTGTCCTTGTGGATTATGTAAAAATAAAGGTTTAAAGATATTTACGTTATTTTATTTCCAGAGCTAAAGGTTAAAATATATTTACAGTATTATATTTTTAGAGTTAAAGTTTTAAAGATATTTACAATATTAGAGTTCAAGCGTGTAAGGTCACATGTCACTTTCTAAATGTTTTCTCTTCCAAATATTAATGTGTGCGTGAAGCTAATGTGTTGTGACTTTCCCTTTGATCTAGTCCACGTGACCACATTAAACAACCTGGCCCAGTCTGCACCCACCAAACGTGCCCTCATGAAACTGGACGTTAGCGATGGATTGGAAGTGAGGATCCTACAGGCTGGTTAGTTATGCTCTTGATATCTGAGGCTACTTTTGAGATCTTCCTCTTTTTTTTCATAATATATTCATCAGCTTAATCTACATTCTATAGACTTTGTGCTTCACTTATCAAAATTACATTTTTCCATAACCTTCTTGATCAATTCAACAACCATTTACTATTCAACAAAAGTTTAAAACTAAATTTTTTGCTAAAAAGTGTTAAGCGTTTAAATGTCAAAATTATCTTGCTTGGAAGTGGATTGTCCATTGGAAATATCCATGAAGACAGTGCCTTTCATCGAACAATTTTCGATAGAGTTCTTTCGTACAAATTTCCGGACACGAATCTGCCCTCATTTCTGGGAACCCTGCTGATATTTGGTCTGCCTTAATTTCTAGGGAACCCTGCTGATATTTGGCCTGCCTTAATTTCTAGGGAACCCTGCTGATATTTGGTCTGCCTTAATTTCTAGGGAACCCTGCTGATATTTGGTCTGCCTTAATTTCTAGGGAACCCTGTTACAAGTTACAGCTTAATGGGTAGTAGTAGTTATATACCATTGTAACGCCTTGATGCTAGGCCAAAATGGCTATTAAAATCAGAACTATTTTAAGGACCGCAAACGACATGGTGTGCTAATCTAAAAGAATTTAAAAATAAATTACACTAATTTTGCTTTACACATTTAGACTAATATTATATTAAAAATTTAGAATAATGTTATACTACATATTTAGACGATTATCGCCTAACATGTCTCATTTCATCGACATTCATTGACCATCCAAGTGACCACACCACCCGTTGTTAACCACATGTCTTCCCACCCCCCCCCCCCCCCCCCCCCCCCCCCCCCCCTCCCCCCCCCCCCCCCCCCACCACACCCCCCGTTGTTAACCACATGTCTTCCCACCCCCCCCCCCAACAGCTGACCAATTCTTCAGTGCGGTCACCGTGCCCCACATCATCACCCACTGGTCCCGATCTGCTGGGCCGGACAAACACGAGGCACTTCACGCACAGCTCACGGGCCTGGGCTACCAACCTAAACAGGCGTGGAACGGGGCAGTGGTCAACAAGGAGTTCTTGAGCAATGACGTAGCCTACATTGTATGGAGCAAGCAGCTATGATGACTGGAGACTGAAAACTTCACTATGTGGACTAGAGTCTGGAGTCTGGAGACTGGATCCTACAGTATGTTAAATTGAGTCTGGAGACTGGAGCCTTCAGTATGTGGACTGGAGACGAGAGCCTTCGCTATCTGGACTAGAGTCTGGAGCCTTCAGCTCGGACAGTTTTCATATATTATTTTATCTAACATTATCACGGTAATTTTTGCTATACTTCCGGGGGAGAGCGCTGTTTGGGATCTCGAAAAATGTGTTTTGTCATTCATAATCTGTGCATTTATATATTTTTTAATTGCTAGCTTCGTGTTCGTGCGTCATTGGAAAGTAAGGAACCACAAATTATTGCTTAAAGTTCTCACCAACTAATTACTAAAGAGAATCATAACTCAATATCCGTAACCGTTTCTTAAACTTATAAACGCAGAACACAGGAAATGTTTGATTAAATTTAATTTAAATTCAATACCCGTGTATCGCAATGATTATCGTGTTTTATGATTGTCGTGTTTTACGATTATCGTGTTTTATGCCTGTTGACTGCCGTTTCATTAATCATTCAAGGATAATTAAGCAAAATTATGTTGGGAAAAGTTTTTTGAAGAATCGTCTCAGCGACCCATTTCTAATCAGTCTTCAAATTTTCATTTAACTAAAGTATTTAAAATAGAATTTGTATTATATTAACCTGTCATTGAAAGTGGATTTAGCATGTGTGAAGACTGTGAGTCTTTAAACATAAAAAAAAAAATGTAGTTCAAGTATTGTAATGAAAACTGACGACGGGTTTGGGGGGGGGGGGGTACTTTAGTAGCGTATTAAGGCGGAACTCGATTTCCACATTTTTTTGGTATATTGGGGAAGGACTGTCTGAGGGATTTTTTGTATTAAAAAATTTACATTTTAATTACTAGTGTTACCTGTTAATTATGTAATCCACCTTTACTTAGAGGTGTGGAGTCAATTTTGTTGTTGTTGCTCCAGTCATATTTAGTGACTTTGGGAATATGGCAATCTGCGGTCATTCACTTTGCTTCCATATTATTTTTAGCCCACTGTTAATCATTTTTAGTGCACAATCAATCATTTGAGTGCACTGTCATTCATTTTTAATGCACTGTCGATCATACTTAATGCAATGTCACATATTTATTTGTGAACGCCTTCGTGTTTGAGTCCGGGACTATGAGCCCTATTGTAATAAGTTCAATGTTTGTGCAAATTTGTCGTTATGTGTTAAATCTGACACAGTACAGCTTAGACCAGGGGTCGGGAACCTCTTTGTCTGAGAGAGCCATGGACACCACGTATTTTGAAAAGTAATTCTGTGAGAGCCATAAATTATGTTCAAAACTAAAAATTCAAGTAAATGTGTTCATTTTTGTGTAATTTCAACACTAAAATTGCAATAATTATGTCTCTGAATTCCTTTTAATAACATTGTTATGCTGTTGCTAATCAATAATGAGTATTTCTTACCATTAATACGACAATTTTTTTTTATAATCGAACATTTGTCTGCGAGTCAGATGCAGCCATCAATAGAGCCACATCTGGCTCGCGAGCCATAGGTTCCCGACCCCTGGCTTAGACAGTTTCAGAGGTGGTCTTACGACATACAAGGGCAATAACTACGGTTTAACTTATTTGAGAGTGTTTATCTTTCGTTCCAGTTCCACCTACTCACAAATATTTTTTTTTTCTTGTTACGTTATTTCGCGTGCAAGTTAAACATAATTCTAGCATTGTGTCACTTGCGTGTATGGGAAGATTTTTTAAAGGGGGGGGGGGGGCAAGGGAGAGGGGGAGGGAGAGGGAGAGAGAGATGTTTGTGAATAAATTTTAATTACATGAAAAGAATTATTCTACTTTGTGCAAAACGTATCTTTTAATATATTTTAATTTGGCATTTGAGTTTACTCTTAGTTCGTGTTTTGTGTTTTTTAAGCCTTTATGTTTAACTTCGCTTGTGTGTGTTTGGGGCAATATCTCCGGACGGCTAGTTGACCCACTTCCCGTCAGCCTTTGAGTGGAAACTTCAGTCCTACAACCAAGAACCAAAATCATTTTTTTTTTCTGTTTTGTTTTCAAGGGGAAGATAAAGGAAATATTTTGAAACTGATTTCCAGAAATAAAATTCCCGATAGGTGCGCTAAATCAGATTCTTTTTTTTTTTTTTAAAATTGCGTTTGGTGTGTAATATTTCTTTTGTTTTTCTGAAATAGTTGGTGAAATTAATCTGTGTTGTAAAAGCGGGTGGGACATCAGAATAATATATAATTTTTTAAAAAAAATGCATATAAAGGATTTATACAAAAAAAACGTGTTTGCAGGTTGTCTACTTTTTGTTGTCACTAGCATAAACTTTAAAAATGCTTAAGTTCGTATCTTTCCGTGGAGAGTTGCCCCCCGTTGGCGTCAAATTAAAACCAACATTAAAAAAAAAAAATCACCCAAATATAAATAATTTTTATGTTTTTTAAAATAAATTTCCCAACACTCGCGTGAACTTAAAATCGTTACCTAATGATGTATCCATGTAAACAACATAAATCATGTATCTATGTAAACAACATACTCATATACTGTATACATATCGTTACGCGAACTAAGACAAAGTTATAGATGTTTTAAAAATTGTTTTTTTATTTCATTATTACACCGACCTCTGTCTTACACTGTTACAAGTAACTATTAATCATTACACTCATTCTTCTTGTCTCTCATACGCGTAAGCATTCATATAATTTTTTTTATAAGTTGCAAAATTGGGGGGGGGGGGGGGGGTTTTAAATTTTCCCCCAAAACTTTCGCACTTCCACAATCTATTTCAAATATCACTAGTTATATTTTAAAACAAAATGGCGAAGCGGTCAGATCAAATCATTGATGGATACTAGGGGCCAGCACGGGAACATGTACAAATTCCACTTGTTTAAAATTCCAAAGTAATATTCCCACAAGATTTTTTTAAAAGTCGTACACGACTAAAATTAATTTATGATTTAATTTATTTTCACGAAAATAACATCCCATTTTTTAAACAATAAATAAGGATTATTTATTGTTACATACTATAATATTTATAATAAGGCGTGTAAATTGCCCTTATATTAAAAAGCGCCGACACCTCCCCCAAAGTCTTTGGACAAAGCAAGACTGGATTCGCCATTGAGTGAGTTTCTTTATGCAACTTTAATATTTTATTATCAAACATAAATCAATTGTAACACTTTTCTGACCTTTTTTTTTTACAGAATGTTAATGTATACAGTTTGTGGACGGAATTCTCTGCAATTATTATGTACTGATATCAACAAGACGAATAAATAGCTAGAATAATTTTGACAAAATTGTAGGCCTATCAAAGTTATGATATATGTTTCTCACAACAAGAATTGCCCACCTCGTAGCTGACACATTGCTACCAAAAATATCTGCAGTTGAAAGGAGACACACAATGAGAAGCTTTCGTAGTTTATAGAAGCACAAAGTGTTTTCCCCTGCCACCCCCCGCCCCTTTTTCCCCTTCGAATTTGACTATTTGAAACTATTTCTCTGATATTTATTGCAGATGAGATGTAACCATCCTTATTGAAATTGTCATGCTAGTTTTAAGGGACTGCTAAACGTATTTCTTTTGTTGTTTTTTTTTTCTTACTCGGACCCCAGCAATATTTACGTTTTCACCATCATCTGACTTTATTTCTGGTAGAAAGCAAATTCAGGAACTCTTTAATATTTCTTATTCTAACATTTTTAAAAATATAAAAACACAATTAAAAAAAAAAAAAATCACGATTGATGGCAGACAAATAGCATGTCATTTAAAAAGTGATACGTTTTATATTTTGAAATGAAAACTCTGGAGATTAATTAATACATTTGAACTTATACCTGCAGGTTCCGGAAGTGAAGAAAAAATTCAAATTGCTGCTCCCTAACTACTGACATCCTCTGACATCAACTGTTTTGCTATATTTAAAAAAAAACAAACTATATATGTAAAATTAAATTTAATCCTGAAGCTGTCCTATTCAAAGTAGGTGGCAAATATGTTGGCCACAGCAAATATGTCCCCAGACTTGTAGGATGCTGTGGCGAAGTTGTCCGTCTCTGTGTTCCACACACTTCTGCTGCACACGGCCACGCCCTGTTGTCTGACTTGACCAATGGTCACTACGCAAACAAACTTGTATCTTTGGCTGGGAGAAAAAAAAAGACATGCTTTTGTAATTTACGGCTAAAATGTTTCTTAGCGAGAAATCAAAGCGTGAAGCTGTTTCGACGAGAACTATAGGTCATCTTTTCCCAAACATTCACGTTTAGTGGACGAGTGGCCTAGTATTTGGCACAGCCGAGATCTGGAATGGCATAGTTTTAGCATGGCCTATTTTCTGGAATGGCCCATTCTGACAAAGTCTAATTCTGGCAAGGCCTATTTCTCGTATGGCCTAGTCTTTCAAGACCTTGTTCTAAAATGACCTAGTTCTGGCAGTCCTAGTTCTGGCAGGCCTGATTTTTTCACGGCCTTGTTCTGGCAAGCATATTTCTTGCATTGCGCAGTATTTTTGAATGGCCTAGTTTTGACCAAATCCAATTTTAATATTGCCTATTTTTTTGCGTGGCCCACCTCTGACATTGCCTTCTTCTGACATGACCTACTTCTTACATGACAGGATCTTAAAACGCCAACAAAACTTTTAAAATAAACCTACCTAAATCCCAGATCCTTGACCCTGCCCTTGATGACATCAGAGATCTGCTGAACAATGTTACCACAGATCTCCGTGCTGTACTTCTCCCCGCCCAGGTAAGACTCCAGTACCTCCATCATGACCTTCTGAGCTTTAGACGGCTGGAACCTATCACTAGAGTTGGGCCCCAGTCTGTACGTGTTCTGGTACTGAAATAATCACAGCATTAATGGTTGATTGGAGATGTCTTTCGTCTTCTTGCTAAGTCTAACAGTTAAGCCCAATCAAAGATATAAATATTGGATTCGATGACGTTAATGAAATCACCATTTTTATAATTCGCAATGAAATCAAATTTAATTTTAATCTTTAAAAAAAATAATTATGAAATCATTAGATGTTGGCCTATACAAATCAGGACAATGTCTTATCTACAGTTTAGATCACCAAATGCTTACTTCGGAAGACTTCGGAAGAGAGAATCGGAGATGTATTTTTGGTGACCATAATGAAATTGATCATGCACCTGATTTTGTTGGATAACGAAACTCAGTGCAATAAACTTTTAACATAGTTTTTGAAAAAAATATTAAAAATACAATAATTTTTAAAAATTGAGAAGAAAAAAAGCAGTTATGATGAATAAGTTTTCATTTACCTGGACGGGTACTTTAAAATCTTTCAAACCGAAACTTGCACCGGAAATGCTACTACGTGAAAACTGTGACATGCGTCTCCCACTCATACCGTACTGGACGCTCGCCCTTGGCATATCGAACTTAGACATCCGTCTGATGTTGGGTCCGAGGGTCATGCCATCGCCATCCCTCTGGAAAAGATTTTAAAAAAAAAAAATAGACGTCACTACGACTACTACGAGGTCACAACAGCAGCTCTACGATTCGAAGACCCCACATGCCATTGAAAGCAATGTGCAGATAAGGTAAAAGAAAAGAAAAGAGAGATAATTTCAAAATTAGGAATTCGGTGGTTCTCAAAATATTACGAGGCAAACTGGTGGGGCTACTCAAAAACTTCTCTGATAATATGAAATAATTTATCGGAAGGCTCGTTAATAGCTACCAAGTG